ATATCCTCAATGTTTCATTGGATTTCTTCAGCTTTTCTGATGTTTGTGGTTTAGATGGAATTACCATGGCGTGCCAAAAGACGTATTTATGGGAATAGAGGATATATTGGAGCTTTCAATAGGTGGAAGGTTAGAGAGACGCTACCTGATGATGCACATAAAAAGGTCATTAGAACACACCACGCAGTGTCATTTGAACCATATTTGTAAGTTGTTGTCTAGATTTTGGATGCTCTTCCTATGCTCTCTCATCTGCAGCTTAGGCTGATGTGCTCTTACTGTAAGAAACATGATGAAACTGAAGTTCCAGATCCATACTATGGTGGACCCCGAGGTTTTGAGAAGGTAATGTTTGATTTTCTTACTATAAGTTGGAACATGAACAATTTTGAGATAAGAACAACTGAACAAGTTGATTAACCTTTTGAGTTCTAACTTAAAAGACAGTGCAACGGATAGAAGTGGAATTCATTTGCCATCTCATTCAACTGCCAGGCTATTTATATGTCAAGAGGGTGACAATATGACTGATGATTTGTCTTAGAGGAATGGATATCTCTTGTTTTGATTTAGTTTAGCATGTTTTGGTAGTGGAACTCATTATTGTAAGTTGTGGTTTTTGTCTCTATGGCAGGTTTTAGACTTGCTTGAAGATGCATGTGAATCATTGTTGGACAGCATCTTGGCAGAGAACAGCCATCTAAATTCTTAAATTTTGCTTGAAAGATGGTCAATCTAATCTCAGGCTCAATAATTACAATCAATATCAGTGGGGTTAATGTCAATACATCAACATTGTTTACCATGGCAGCTTGACAGGACCTCCTGCTATCCCTCTGTTGGCAGGCTGATTGCATTCCTTTAAATTGGATTTTGATGCGGTTTGCATTTTTAACCGAACACCGTACCTAGCAGATTGTATGAACAAATATATCAAAATCAAGTGATATATTTCTTGGATGTAAATCCATATTTTCCTCTTTATAGATGTTGCCTTTTGAGTTTTAATTTTAATGGATGGATCTCGATCATTAGTAGAAAATGATCTGTTAGACAATCTAAATTGCTATAGCTCAGAAAGAGATGACTTTTTTTTTTATAACTTTGATGCTAAGATTTTACTGCAAATACCATTGCAGAAAACATATCAACGTTACAAACTAACATGAACTTGTATCATGGAATATACTGTATAAAACATGTAGAAAACATTGCAGGAAATAAAACTTCTACAGCATCATTTATTAACATAAGCTCATATGATGAAAGGCTGGTTAAATCCTTTGCGACCACGTTTCCTTCTTGGGTTGGCACTGATCATACAAGAAAAGGCATTCTTAAGCTCTGAATCCTCTTCATTTGTAAGAATATTTGCTGCGCTAGGCTTGGCAAGTAGGAGTTTTGCCACAAGGTATCCGGCAATGGACCAGGTCTGAAACAACCTTGCTTGTTTTCCAATAAATCTTGCTCCTTTAGTGTCATAATATTCTGGCCACTTGTCTCTAGATATGCGTCTCTCTGCAAGCTTGATAGCTTTTTCAGCAATCTCCGGCCGATTCATCTTTATGCATGCCACTGTGAGCTGAAACAAACCCAAAAAATCATGTAGTTTTCACAAATGCAATTTGCCAAATGTAAAGCCTTATCATGGTTTCAGAAAAGATTAAACAAATGGAAACTCTTCTGACTCATATAGAGAATGAACTCACCTTCATATCAGTGAATCTTTAATTTCTTTGAGATTCAAGCTTATCAACATCATAAAAGGGAAAATGAACAGGACTTAAAAAACGAAATCATATTGCTCTTTACCGGCCATTCATGATTCATATTGCAGCAAAATTGGCGGTCAGCATCTCAAATAAAGATGTTAAGGTGATATTTATTGCTATACTAAGTCATTAGGCTCTACAATCTAAATGAAATTCAGATAAAGGAAGAATCAACTAACCTGCCAAAGCAATGTTGGCCAAGAACCTCCATTGTGGTAAGACCAAGGACTACAAAAGGGAAAAAAAAGTGTTAAATAAGGGTGGGCGGACAAGTCATTGGATGCTAAGCCAATGAGTTACTCAGAAATAAGATCATATAAAAAAAATGTATAGGCAAAGGCAATACGTGTTCTTGGGATCACTGCCTGTGATGATTCGCCATTCCTGGCCTTCAAGAGCAGGATAACATATTTTCAATGGCATATCTGCCACTAACTCTTCCCATGTTGCATCTATAAGATCCAATATGGCATGTGATTGATCAATTGTTGCAAGACTGCTTACAATTGCCCATAAGTTTCCAAGTGAAAAGAAACGGAAATCCATGTGAGCTGGCTGCAGATTCCCTATCAGATATCCTCCTCTACCAGGCATAAAATCAATCAACCAAGAAGGGATCTGATCTGGATAGATATTGAACTTATTAACCGCATCATATGAGTATTCCTCTGTTTTATAACGGTATATTTCATTAAGCCTTTTCATGTCAATCCAGTAATATTCCCTGATGTGGAAAGATAATGCAACTAGACGATTATTAAGGGCTCTAATAAGGTCTGCTGACCCATCCTCAGGAGCAAGCATCTCTCGTGCACAGAGTAATGCAGAATAAAATAGTGCCTGAAGGAAGATGTAATTGTGAGAATTGTGCTGCATCATCTTTACATAAAACAAGAAGAATGACCGTGATACAGTTGGGAAGCTTCAGCTTCTATAAGATAACAGCTCAAATGGACCCCTAAATGCACTCTAGGAGACAGAAACAGCCTGTGTCTAACCAAACAGAAAAGAAGATTGAGATAAGGTTTCCATTTGAGAATAGAAAAGGAGATGCATAAAGAATAAAATATCAAGCTCTCTGGGATATCTGTAGCTATTTAGCCCTTCAGAAAGCTATGGATTTGCTATTCAAGGAACATATGGGAAATAAAATCAACCCTTAAAAAGAGTAACTCAATTAAAAGGTCCAAGTGAAACATTTTAAATAGAAATTAATGAACCTGAATCTCCAAAGGATGGCCATGAATTCCCATGCGGCGATCTATCATGCAAGAACCATCAGTCACCAATAAGGTTGGGAACATATCAAAACCATCAGCAAGACAGAGCTTCAAAATCATTTTAATCCCAGTTTGTACATCAACTCTCTCTTGCACTGAGAGATCTCCAGAGCATTTTCCATAGGCTCGCAACAATATAATCCACCATAATCCTGGTAATGAAATCATAACATGTATAAAAGACTCTTATTCAAACTGTTAATAAACATATACAAAGATGTATTTAAGAGAGACAACATTTAAATAATTTTTACCAGAATCAACTGGAGCAACACGACCAATTGCTGCTTCGCCAAAGTCAGGGTCTAATACATCTTCTGTAGCTGAATCATCCCCTTCAAGTGGGACAGTTCTCACCTTGAAACTGGCAGGCATCAATCCCTGACCAGGACTATGACAATCCATAGTTTTCTCCCAACTCTGTCAATAGAATAACTGTAAATCAGTAAGACAGTAGGGAACCAACTTCAACAAGTAAGATTCATGCTTCCAGGTAGCTTTCTGATAATAAAGTAACTTGTATGGTCAATTTCGTAAGAATGCAGGCCTGCATATTTTCCTGGATCAAATTCCTAATAAACCTATAATTGGGATTTTCAGAAAGGAGAATAATAGCACTTCAAAAAAAAAAAAAAAAAAGAGGACAATGTTAAAGATAAACAAAGCAATCACACTTAAAATGTCTTGGTTGGTGTAATGTAACAAAAATGACAACTCAAGCCCTATAAATTGAATTTTCCAACAGAAGAAACTAATGCTGTCAACTTAGAAGGGGCTCAGCAAACCATGTAGTTGATTTTAATGATTGATCAGGTAACTAGTTGCAGGACATATAACTACCTGCAACTGCAGGGTGTAAAGGATGAAGTCGCGCACAATGTCATACTCTCCCTTCAAAAGAAAAGCTATTCCCGAAGGTATGAAATCACGAATAAAGACTTGATCATAGTTTAGAATGCTGGTATCACTTGTGTCATTTGCAGCAATTGTTCCAATTGGATTACCACAATAGTAAACAATGGACTCCCGAAGCAGATTCCAAGCTTCTTCTTCAATTGATTTCCTTGAAACCTTGTGCGTTGTATCTGTAACTGTTCCAGCTGCAACCATCTTACCATTGGCAAAGCCTCCCTTATCATGAATATTAGTCGTGCCATTTATAGGAACTGTTGTTGACATTCCATCACCAGCAGAGACACCACTAACATGATCAGCCCTTTGGCATTTGCAGCTCATGAAATCCAATCTCCCCATTCTAGTACTGCTATCACCTTGAGAGGCATAAACTCTCACTCTATTTCTGGGTGTTCTTGAAACTTTACCAAATTGCATGTGCCCTAAACTTCTTTGCTTTCCAAATTTTACATCACATGTGAATGAAAGCATAGAGCTTGCATTCTTGAAACAATTCTTGAAACACGGATCTAAATGAAACACACGGAATGCTTCCGGAGTGGCAGCCATAATTGGTTTAACTATTTTCTTAACCAAATGCCTCTAGAACTTGTTGAGTAGTGAATGAACCTACACAAAACAAAGTAAAATACAGATATGAATGAATTGGCCAAACCTAATCATATAAAGAAGAAAAAAAATCATTTTCCTTTCCTCCTCAAAAAGCAACTAAAGCCCCTTAATGTATGGACTCAAAACAAATTCCAGAGAACAACACTATCCATGTTACCTCTTCAAAGAGAATTGCTTTGAGTCAGTGTAATGGACTAACATAAAGCTCTCAACCCCTCTTTTTTTTTCCTTTACTGGGTATTTTGGGTTCGTCTGAATTAAGAAAATGAATTGATTAAAAATGAAAACTTTAGCATCCTTCTGTTCCATGGAAATTAAACAAAACGGAAGGAACCGTACTGAACTCACCTCTTTCATTTACAGTTGTTCCTTTTTCCTCCGCCAGTTTTCTAGTAAGATTTTCTCAGCCGAATATTTGGACGGAAGTTACCAGGATATCTTTATTTTCTCGGCATCCAAACAGATTTTTGCAGTCACTCCGTTACCCTCAATGTCCATCCTTTGCTTCGCAAATGACGATGGGAACCATCAAAACGTCGCGTTTTCTACTTCATTCTTGTAAGGAAATGGGTCTTATTCTTTTCCCCAGAATTAGGGCACCAACTTGAATTTCAGTCAATTGAGGACATAAACTTTTCGAGGTTCTAATCTAAGGACAGATTGAGCGAGTATATGCACATGCTGAGAACAACATACATACAGTAACCTAGTTAGCTTAATTGTAAATATTGTAGTAGAAGTTTTGTTGGAATATAATTTTTGCAAAACTGTTGAAATATGAATTTATATAAAATAATTATAATTTTTTTTTGAAAATAATAAAACTATCAATTGGAAAGTTTAAATAGTAAAAGTCATACTTCTCATAATATAGTCAAAATCAAAATAACCTATTACAAAATCAAAAATATAATTTACAACACTAGTAATAGACTTAAATTATATCAATGACAGATATTAGTAATTAAGTAAAGAGAATCATCTGTAATTAAAAATTGAATTTACAATCATTGTATAGATTAAATAGAGGTATTAATGTAAAAGTCATACTTTAGATGTTGCACCTTCACGAAATCCAGTTTTTATACCTTCAAAAGTTAAAGCCAGCTTATAGGGTATTAAAATAAAAATAATAATAAAAAAAAAAAACAGAAGCAAAAATGCATTTTTAAAAATCCAATAAAAAAGTAGAGAAAGTTAAAAGTAAATATTAAAAAGACACTCAGTTATCAAAAATAAATTGTGTCAATAAAATTTTAACCTCATCATTAAAGTGTATGTTATATTTTTCAGTTTTTAATTTAAGACTAACTAGAAGTTAATTTAATTTAATTTTTACATTAATTTATAATTTGTTACTATAAAATTTATATACATTTTAGATTATGATCCCAAGGGCACTCCAAAAAAAAAGCCTCCAACATTCATCGATTTTCAACTTGAAAATTTCAATCTAGAATTAATTGGATAATATGGAGATGTTTTGGAGGACTATCTTTCCTTAATATTTAACTCAATCAACCAACGGTAGTAACACAAGCATTAGGCGATGGCTACTTGAGTCTCTAGTTGATTATCACCTTATTGGGAGTTTTAAGAGATCCACTTTCACATCCTCTTGAACTTGATCTCTATTGTAATTTTATTAGTAATACTATAGTTATAATGTAATATAAAATTATAAATTTATAATTATAATGTATTATTAAATTAGTGTAATATATTATTAAATAAATTAATATATATAATATGCAAGTTGTAAGCTTATAGTGTGTGTATATATATTAGTCTAAAAAATGAGATAATTCATATTGAAAATAAATTATTAAAACAGA